AAGGTTTCTTACCGAGATCGGCCTCTAAACATGAGGTAGAGTATCATGAGTATGCCAAACAATCACATGTATTTCGACCCTTGGATCCTGTTTGATCAATATCTGCTTTGGAGATGTGCTTGGTCAATACTGATCTCCAAAGCCATTAATGCTATCTCCTCCTCAACCTCTGAACACTGAACGTTTAATAATATATAGTGGTAGTCAGTACAAGGATATCCCCTTCTTTGGTGCCTCCTGTTCTCCTCCCCATCTTCTGAGGGGATATGTTAAATGGAATGATGCTAGAACTCTAGCATCTAGCAAAAGTGTTTTTCCACTAAATTTGTACCAGCCACGCTTTGACTTATCCTGTAACAACTTTTGTAACAGCAATGTATTCCCAAGACAAAAAGTTTAGTGACTATAATTTTCTCCTAGTAGAACTTTTAGCAGGGCTCTTCACTTACAGACTGCAGCAACACTGTTGCTTAAGGAATAAGCCCTGCCTGCCTGCTAGTGACAAACTGATTAAGATAGTCCCGTTGGTTTTTAGAGCTCTGAAAGACTGTAGGACCTCATATTATTTATATTACTGTAGTGCCAAGCAGCCTTAATCATGGACCAGGACACCCTAAGGACCCTTTTCTTGTTGCTTATTTTGACAGGTAACCAATCTCATACCAAGAGTTTCATCATCACACTTTTGCTGTTGTGGTACACTATTCAGGGGTGGCCAACCTGTGGCTCTGGAGCCACATGCAGCTCTTCAGAAGTTAATATGCGGATCCTTGTATAGGCATCGACTCCGGGGCTGGAGCTATAGGCACCAACTTTCCAATGTGCCAGGGGGTGCTCACTACTCAACCCCTGGCTCTGCCACAGGCCCTACCCCCACTCCACCCCTTCCTGCCCCCGCACCCCGAGCCTGTAGTGCCCTCGCTCTCCCTCCCCCCCACCTCCTGCACACCACAAACAACTGATTGGGAGGTGCAGGGAGGGAGGGAGAGGTGCTGATCGGCGGGGCTGGGAGCGGGGTGGGGGAGCTGATGGGGGGCTGCTGACGTATTACTGTGGCTCTTTAGCAACGTACATTGGTAAATTCTGGCTCCTTCTCAGGCTCCGGTTGGCCACCCATGCGCTACATCACTGAGACATCCACTCCATTCACCCTTCCCGTTTTTCAAAAGAATCAGCAGCCACTCCTTCCAGAACTTTTTTCAGTAATTTCAGTCCCTGTATGGGATTCTCCCTTTCCTGTTTTTTAATGGCAAGATTTTTTTATTGCATTGGATTTAAATTGTTGTGTAGCACCCCTAGGGCCTCTGCGTGAACACTGTATAAATAAGATCAACGAAAACTAAATTCAGAGTGCTTTAATATCCCCAATTTAATTCTAGAAAGCTAGTTCGAAGTGGCTTTTGGATCACAAACATCTGCTAAAACAAAAGCCTAGCTTCTAATGCTTAAGAGAAAGGAGAAATCTCTTTTCTTTTTAAGGATGAACCTATTAGAAACAAGTATGTTCATAATAGTAAGAAAAAGGTGTTTATTAGGGCTGTCAATTAATCGCAGTTAACTCACACGATTAACTCAAAAAATTAATCGCGATTTTTTTATCGCACTGTTAGACTACCAATTGAAATCTATTAAATATTTTGGATGTTTTTCTACATTTTCAAATATTGAATTCAATTACAACACAGAATGCAAAGTGTACAGTGCTTACTTTATTTCTGATTACAAATATTTGCACTGTAAAAAAAATAGTATTTTTTAATTCACCTCATACAAGTACTGTAGTGCAATCTCTATCATGAAAGTGTAACTTACAAATGTAGATTTTTATTTATTTTTTTTTTTAACATAACTGCATTCAAAACCAAAACAATGTAAAACTTTGGAGCCTACAAGTCCACTTACTCCTACTTCTTGTTCAGCCAATCACTAAGACAAACAAGTTTGTTTACATTTACGTGAGATACTGCTGCCTGCTTCTTATTTACAATGTAACCTGAAAGTGAGAACAGGTGTTCACGTGGCACTTTTGTAACCGGTGCTGCAAGGTATTTACGTGCCAGATATGCTAAACATTTGTATGCCCCTTCATGTTTCGGCCACCATTCCAGAGGACACGCTTCCATGCTGATGATGCGCGTTAAAAACACAATGTGTTAATTAAATTTGTGACTGAACTCCTTGGGGTAGAACTGTATGTCTCCTGCTCTGTTTTACCCGCATTCTGCCATAGATTTCATGTTATATCAGGCCTGGATAATGACCCATCACATGTTCGTTTTAAGAACACTGACAGCAGATTTGACAAAAACGCAAAGAAGGTACCAACGTGAGATTTCTAAAAATAGCTACAGCACTCGACCCAAGGTTTAAGAATCTGAAGTGCCATCTAAAATCTGAGAGAGACAAGGTGTGGAGCATGATTTCAGAAGTCTTAAAAAAGCAACACTCCGATGCGGAAACTACAGTACCCGAACCACCAAAAAAGAAAATCAACCCTCTGCTGGTGGCATCTGACTCAGATGATGAAAATGAATATGTGTCTGTCCACTGTGCTCTGGATCGTTATTGAGCAGAACCCCTCATCAACATGGGACGCACGTCCTCTGGAATGGTGGTTGAAACATGAAGGGACATATGAATCTTTAGCTCATCTGGCATGTAAATATCTTGCAATGCCAGCTACAACAGTGCCATATGAATGCCTGTATTTACTTTCAGGTGACATTATAAACAAGCAGCACAGCAGCATTACCTCATGTAAATTGTAACCAGATTTGTTTGAGAGATTGGTTGAAGTAGGAATGAGTGGACTTGTAGGCGTTAAGTTTTAAATTGTTTTATTTTTGAATGCAGGTTTTTTTGTACATAATTCTACATTTGTAAGTTCAACTTTCATGATAAAGAGATTGCACTACGGTACCACTCACTCTCTTCCTCCTTTCCCGGCTCCATCTTTCATAGAGAGAGCTAGATCCTCCTCCATGCATACCCATGACACAAGGGGACAAAGAGAATGCCCACGGTATTTGACAGCTATAAAATCCAAAAGTACCACAAGCAGAATATTGCAAGAAGCCCATATTTGATCTGCTACCATTTGAAAGTGGAACCTATAATTCTACCTACCATGTTAGGCATTCCTGCCCCGGGAACTGGCTTCTTGTCCATTGGAAACTGGGGTAAGCTGTTTGGTAGCCCAGTCTTATTCTGCATCTGGGGACCAAGTCCACTGGCTCCAATCTGCTGCCCAGTGTTCTGGCTGTACGGTGAGCCATAAGGACTGGGATTGCTCATCATTCCCATCTAGGAATTAAGAAGAAATTTAAAAAGTTATACTAGGTTTAGTTAGGAAGATGTGTTTCCATTTAATTTTACTTAGCTTACTATTTCATACAGCATACTACAAGAAGAGACTAGCTGGCACATCAAGAGCCAGGAACCAAAAGTAGTCTGCTACATGAGGCCCTAACACATGCTGCCCGTTCCTCCTCCAAAACCACTTTATGTACCTCCATACCCTTACCATAGCAAGACTAACACACTGATTAGGCTGTCTTCTTTAAGAGTTCCACAGAACTAGTTGACACCTATGCTAGTCTGGTTAGAACTGTCGCAATATTTTCATTGTAAAGCATTTAGTCCAGCAAGTTTATCACTCAAGGTTATCTTTCCTTTTATTATTCCTTACTATGGTGTTCATCACTATATAGTAGTAGAGCACTTTACAAATGACGACTGTATCCTTGCAGCATCAGTGTGTGGTAAAAAAGCATCCACATTTTACAGTTGGAGAACTCAAGCATAGTAGAGAGCTTAGATGACTGGCGTATGGTCATACAAGTAGACAGTAGGAGAGGCAGGAACAGACCCAGACACCTCAAGTTCCAGTACAGTGCCTTAACCACAACATCGTTCCCAGTTAGAAGTTAATCAAACACGGCCTCACTCCACTCTGACATAACTGAGCTAGTCACAGTCATTTTTACAGAGCAGTTTGTGTTCTATCACTGTTTTCCAGACCATATTCTCTCCTCGCCCCCAGAACAATGTTATGAAATACACACACACACAAATCTATAGCAGGTTTGGCTAGCAGAGTTCTTGGAAAAGAAAACCTGTCCTGGAAACACTGCTAGTCTTGCTAGCAATAACCATGTTATATCCAGTTATAGCTAGCACTGTTGAGTCCAGTGAAGAGAAGGACAAAAGTTTAAACTTACTAAGATCTCATCTATAGTGAAGGGTTGTCTACACAGACGTAGTGAGTGGCAAGCATAGCTGCCCACAGTAGCCTCCTATGTGAACCCTGCTACCACACACTAGAAGCTCTATAATGCACTTTGATATACTGCTATCAGTATATCAAAGTACACTAAGGAACTTTTAGTGCATGGTAGCAGGGTCCATACTGCCAGCTAGTGCATGGCAGGCTAGTATGCTGTGTAGATTTACACCCTGGCTTGCTATGCACCAAGTCTCCATGTAGACTAGCCCTTTGTTTGCTCCAATTACAGCAATCAGTGGTCAACCACCTGCATAGATGCATCAGTGCAAGTGATACCACTATTTTCATCAATGGAGCTTAACCCAAATAACTCTTACCCATCTGTTAAAACTTCCAGCCCCAGTACTCTGCACACTAAACACCTTCTACAATGGTGTACTTTCAATACAAAACCAAGAGGCAGTATAAAATTTCATTAAATATCGTAGACACACAGGAAATGCCATACCGAATCAGACCTGTGATCCAGGTAGTCCAGTACCCTGTATGAAAGTAACCAGTCCCAGATGTTTGAGAGGAAGGTGTAGCATGGTACCCTGCAGGCAGTATGAAGTTATGAAATCTGCCTATAGGATATTTCCTCCTATCCCGCACTGAAATTTATATCCTTTTCAAAGCAGTTTTTCTAGGTTTTAAAGTCCTTACTCTACCATCACCATGGATTCTCTTGTTATATATCTATCACTGTAGCAGATGCATTACTCATTTATATATTTAATTCAGTAAAATCCTCTGTTTTCAGCGCATCAGAAAGATGCCAGATAATTTCCAATCTGCTGCACTGGGTATGCCTCAGTATCCAGGACACCTGCCTCAGAATTTAGGTCAACATTCCCACGAAGTATAGAGGACATTGTGTCCCCCCGCCCTTTCTCTTCCTCCACCCCCTCCACCAATTTCTTTCCCTATACTGTGTTATTCCCCAATATTCCATTCCTCCTTTGGTTTCCTCCTATCCACACAAAGCTCTTATACGTCTCTTTTCTTCTAGCCTTAGTCCCATCTATATGGATAGGTTCAGCTCTTGGAGACCACCATTCCAGTCTGTTCCTCAAAACCCTGCAGTTAATCAAATCCTTTTGTAGGACATTCATCTAGCTCCACTTTTCAATTTTAACACACCCTGTTTCCTATATATCTGATTTTTTGCATGGACAAACGATTTAAGCCTGAATTTCCTCAGCTTTTCCTATAATTGGTACTGGCTTCACACTTCCTCTAACCTTTGTTCATTCTAACACGGTTCATCCTTGTAACTCCAAGCATCCATCTTCGTTTTTTTAAAATCTCACTTTTTTCCTCAGACAATTTGGAAATGTTTTCCAGGAATGTAACAGCAGGAAGACTAAAAATACAATAAAGGTCAGCATAAAAAGTTCTCACCATTATCCAGGTGAGATGTTAACATCCTTCCATCCCATAGCACTTGGGAAAGAGGATGCTGAAATATGCATCAGAATATTATTCTGGACATCTATTTGGAAACTCCATTTTATATACTGGCCTCTGATTAGCAGGTATTTAGTCAATTTAAAGCCACTCAATCTCCTTTGGCTGTTCTGTTTCCCCACTCAATAAAAGAGCTTATTGGCAGCTGTGATAGGTTTGTGTCTCCTCCATTACCATTCGCCTAGGCTGTTCTTGGGTCCTCTTCCTAGAGTGAATAACTGAAGTGGCTGCTTCTACTGTTCATAAGTTTCTCAAGCTGCAGAGTGAAAGCGTCCTGCTTCTCAACTTAATTACTGCCGTGAGATTACCTGTGCTTATCTAAAGGCTTCTTTTCTTCAAGTAATAGCTTTCAATGATCCATTACAGTGGTTCTTCAGCCAGTATGCAATCTCTAGGTCAGAACCAGACTGGTCTATTACTGGCAGAAGGGGAGTGACTCTCTTACTGAAAAGCCTGCCACTTGAGAACTTCTACCAGGCAAGATAATTTCACCAAACTCTGAGAAAAGCCAACCTTTTAATACAAAAACCTCACACTAGTTAATAGTTTCACTTACTGCCGCGCATGGGATGGATCTTTAAAAATAATGGAATAAAAACTGGTATTAATTTTAAGCAGGAGTGATCCTCTGTCTAGATACAGTGATATTACCTGAAGGACATTTCTAGGTAAGCAAATAAATTTTTCCTATTCACTCAATTAACACCCAAAGAGCCCATCAGCTGAGGAATGGATGTTTACTTTGTAGAATTTGGTGAAATATGGATGAATGCGGCTATAATGCACTTGATAAGCATAGGACTTCTGCCCATGACATCACAACAGTATTAAAGAAACAGATTCTAAGGTTTAACATATTCGTAAAAACCTTTAAATCTCTGAAGTTCTCCATCTGATCTCCATCTCAATTTTAATAGATGATTTAGAGGCTCTAGTTTAGTTCAATGTAGACTCTGGTAGCCCCATATATGTCCCGCATATACACCTCTACCCCGATATAACGTGACCCGCTATAACACGAATTTGGCTATAATGCAGTAAAGCAGTGCTCTGGAGGGGCAGGGCTGTGCACTCCGGCGGATCAAAGCAAGTTCGATATAATGCGGTTTCACATATAACGCGGTAAGATTTTTTGGCTCCCGAGGACAGCGTTATATTGGGGCAGAGATGTACCAAAAATTTTCCTCAGTGTGAAGGTTTGAGACAAGGATATGTTTTTTGATATTTGGGGGGATAAATAGTAGTTCAGTCAGAAACATCTGTTTCATATATACCCAATACCAAGACTAAGGGGGCTCCTGTCTGACACCTATCTGGCAGTTGTGACCACCACCACCAGGAAGTCCACCTGGATGGACTGCAAGTACAAGACATCTCTCTCCAGCTTTCAGTCAAGTATACCACAAGTGCAACAGGTAGGAGATAAGATTCCAGGGTTATGTCATGGTCTTTTGCAGAGGATGCATCATAGAGCCCAGATGCAAATACATTCTTCTTGCCAGATGCACAGAGAATACTTAACGAAGTGAAGATGTGGTCTCATACAACATAGCAGCCTTCATACGCCCAAGTTAGGACTCTCCAAATGAATTCTAGGACATGATTCACTTTTGACAGCGATAAATAATTCATGGTCTCTTCACCAGTATCTAAACCTCACTCAAGTCTTAGAACAGATTTGACAACTTTTTAATTGACGTTAACAGTGTGAGATTATCCAAGTAGCTCTCTTTAGATACTTGCCAAATACTTAGAAGCTAGCTGACACTTGTCTGGTTTGGGGTGCAGAACTGATCCCTGTGATAATACAAATTATGTGGTAGGAATACAGAGAAC